CCTTTGCAGACAGAAAGCACAGTGCCCAGGAAAATTTAATTTATTTTAGGGCATTTGCCAAGGGACTGGGTTTCTTAGATGTTAACTACAAGAAAATTTTATACAGAATAGAATAGTCAGTAAAAAAAAAAATTACTGCTCCATAAAACATATAAACAAAGTAGGCTCTGTTAAGATAATGCAGCAAATCAAATGCTTGCATCTCCATGACATTTGCTTTGGGTCTACTTCTTTTCCACCTCATGATCAGAAAATAGGGATACAAAGTCTAAAACAAGTATAGTCACATAACAGTCCAAGAATACTGTTTCTGGTTAATTTAATGAGAGCTTTGTTTTCATAACTAAAGGAAATTTTTATTTTAAAAATGCATAGCATTCTCCTTACTAGGAATGCAAAGCAATGAAGACCAACAGAGGGGAGATAGCATTTCACAATGTCTCTGATACTTAGTAACTATGGGATTTCTGAACAAGTTACCTGAACTCCAAGTCTGCCTCTCATCTGTAGAACAAGTTTAGAATGCCAGCTGTGGGGCTGAAGGTATAGCTTAGTGCTTGCCTAGCTAGATGGCCTGAGTTTAATCTTAAACACTGGGTTAGGGTGGTAGGGGTGATGGGGAGAAGAATGATGTCTTGAAAGGCTGTACCAAGGATCTGCCATAAGTATGAGGAAGATCAGGTTTTTTACACGGTGGCTGACACTAGTAATAGCAACTAAAAGATGGCTAGGATAGGGTGGGCTAGCAGGAAGGTGTTTTCCATCCCCAGCTGAATCTTAAAGGGCAATCTTACACTGGAATAGGACATAGTTTTGACTTTCTGAAAACCTAAAAAAAAAAATTAGTAATCTGTAACTACAGACCTCTGACTGTTGTTTTCTTTTACTTCTGTCTTTTGTTCTAGCAGCAAGAGAATGACACAATAGACTCAGGCTTAGAGGACAGGAATACTGATTCCTTTATGGGGCTCCTCAATGTCTGGATCCCAAGTAAGACTGAACAGGGTAAGTATCCATTCCTTAATGAGACAGAAGTCCTTCTGGGAATAAAGGCAGTAACTGGAATGAATATCTATGCTTTAAAAGGTAAACTAAACACTGGAAGAAGAGAGGAAGTACCCAGAGGAAAGTTAAGGAGAATCAGATAGGAGTCATTAAGATAAGAGATACCTAAGCACAGTCATAGAGGGTAGTGAGACTCTTGCCCAGAAGCTTGGAAGAAGGTACAGAAGAATGTTAAGAGAAAACATCATGTTCTGGGAACTGTAAAGGGACAAACTGGTGATGGCCACAGAAGCTCTCCAACGATGTTTGGTCAAGGCCAACTGAGTAACAATGACTTTTCTCATGGAGAGGGGCTCTTCCTGAACCTAGTGTTCCACAAGTGAAGTTGGGGACTGAAATGTCTAGGCACAAAGTAGCTAGCTTGCCCAACATTCTCCTGAGCCATTGGAATGCTTGATGCCTGAACTTGAGACTAGCAGTTGTGTCATTTCTATCTGTAAAAGTTATCTTCGTGCTTGTGCAATAAAAAGGATAATTAGTAAGCGAACTGAGTACTTGTGACAGAATGAGCTATGAGCATTGAAATTCACTGAGCTATACCAGGTAAAGCTGAGCCCAGTTGCCCTATGGAGTAACAAGAATATATGAAATGTACATGTGACAATCTGGGCAAGAATGCCATCCTATGCCAACTGATTTCCCAGTGTTTTCCTGAAGTTTTTGCCAAATGGTATGGAGCCCAATATAAGCAAGACACTGTTACCAAGGCTATTCCTAAGTGAGCAGGACACCTTGATGGGACAGATACTCTCAGAGAGAAAGACATAACTTCTAGGAAGATTAATGACTACAACAAATGGTACCTAAAGACCACAAAAGCTCAGGACAGAGTAGTTCATCTGGTGACTAAAAGGCCAACATTTTTCCATCACTTACCACTTATACCCAGACAAGTCACTTGATCTACTGGAAGGAACAGAGAGATTGGTGACAAGGACACTTTGCAACAGTTATGGAAAAAGTTTGTATTTTAAGTGCATATTCACCAAAAGGCCCTTCAGGAGACATTCTTGTAATGAGGTAGACAAGATGATTTATCCCATGAATGCCAGCTGGCCTTTTTCCTTAGCTGTCAAAGAGCCAGTGAACAGGTTGCACAAGTAATATGGCCATGGTGGCAAAGATGAAGGTTCTATTTAGAGTGTGTAAGCTTGAGATATATTAAGTGCCTATTGTGACAGCAGCAATTAATCAGAGCCTTCTCAGCAATTCTCATAGCTCAGGTAGATGAGGCAGGGGTGGTGAGTGGACTGTATCAAACCTCTTTCATCCAGAGAGGACAAAAATCTATCTTGGGCTAAAAACAAACAAAACAAAACAAAAAACTCAAAAAGAATGTAATGGGATCTGCTGGATAGAGCATATGCAGTGCTAAACATTAGTGAAGTAACGGTAACCTCATCAAGAGTTCACTAATTCCTTAGGAATGAAGGTAAACAATCCTGATCAGCTGAGAGATTGGAGATACAGGGAATAAGAAATAAATAAGAAAGACATCAACAGCAACTATTTGCTTCATAGGTACAAAAGGCAGAATGATTCTGGCATGCTACATCACATACATATTCACATATTTTAACTATGCTGTATTGGCTTTACTTAACCTATTTTATTTAAAATGTGTTAGCAATAGTTGACTTCATAATTTAGTTGTTAAGTTAATTCTTTCTAGAGGCTTTGCATTAACTAGAGGGGACAGAAAAACCAATCAGAAATCCTGAATCTGGAGCTGGGACTTCAGACTTAGATCATCTTAGAGGGTATGGTGAACATGTGCATTCTGTATAGTTGGGAAAACTGTGTGGTTGGACAATAGCTTATTGTTATTTGGAAGTTCATGGAAAAAGGAAGTCAAAGGGAAAATACCATTGGGTAACTTAGCTTGTGTCCAGTCTCCCAAAATTTTTGACTTTGTTCCTGTTTTGGTAACTTTACTACATCTAATAAGTCTCACATAAGTATAAGGTAAGGCCAAAATTGTGCATTTGCTGACATGCTAGCACCTAGGACAGCAGGTCCTAGTTCTGTCTTGCATTAGTTTAGATGGAGTAACACAAGGCTGTGCCCATATGCTATGCAGTCTATTTCTATGGGCTGGAACAGACGCTTCTGATACTCAGTCCCAAGCTTTCAGATGGCTCCAATGGCACATGGACAACTTGTGCTGAGCCTGTTCTGTTTGAATAACTTTAGAATGTGACTCCTGGCTCTCCCTAATACCTAATACCTTTCATCAACTTCTTTACTGAAGATCCAGACCTATTTTGGTTAGTCTTAAGCAAAGAAGAAATTGAACCAAAGACATTAGGCAACTAATGCTTGCAACCACAAAGAGTTTCAAGCTGGGCACCATCTTTTTTGTGTTGTTGTTTGTTTCAAAAAGCCATTTTGGCAGCAGAGGTGTGGAAGAGTTAGAAGGAAAGTCAGAAGGCTGTGGCAAGAATTCAAAAGCTGATTAAGGACTTTGCCCAATAGAAAAGGGAGTGACAACCAGAAAAAAAAAAAAAAAAAAGAGGAAAAAAATAATAAAAAAAAAGACAACTCAATACAAATCCAAAATATAAACATGTGAATCACTCAGTCAACATATAGGAAGAGAAAGATAAATAAAAATTGAGAAGAGTGCTTTTTAAAAATTTTGATCTGTTTGGCAAAAAATACAAGCATCAGTAATACCTCAAACTGGCCAAGACTTGGGAAAGACACTAAGGTAAAACTACTGAGAACTGACAAGTCTTACTGTTTTTCTTCTCTTTTTTCTAGTGATAAAGTATTTGAATTAAGCATTTTTTTTTGGGGGGGGGGGGCGCGCGTTCCGGTCATGGGGCTTGAACTCTGGGCCTGGGCGCTGTCCCTCAGCTCTTCAGCTCAAGGCTAGCGCTCTACCACTTGAGCCACAGTGCCACTTCCAGCTTTTTTCTTTTTGCTTATGTTGTGCTGAGGAATCGAACCCAGGGCCTCAGGCATGCAAGGCAAGCACTCTACCACTGAGCCACTTTCCCAGCCCAAAGTGTTTGAATTCAGGATACTATGCTAGCTATATCCCCAATCCTCTTTGGCTTAGTTATTCTTCTGACAAAAGTCTTGCATGTTTGACCTAGCCAGTCTCAGACCACGATCCCTCTACCTGTGCCTCCCCCAGAGTGTAGTCCAGGGGCTAGTTGTTGGTTGAGTTGGGATCTCAATTTTTTTTTTCCGTTAGATTGGTATTCAAAACACTTTTTATATCACTGTCTTTTTTTTTTACAAGTCTATTGAAACAAACTTTGTTGTTGTTTCGTGCAGGTCATAGAGTTGAACTCAGAGGCTAGGCACTGTCCCTAAGCTAAAACTAGTCTAGCACTCTACCAATTGAACCACACCTGTATATCAGCTTTTGGTGTCCTTGATGTTTTGAGACTGTTAGGCCTTGTATGAGAGAGGGCTCCTCCACTGAGCATTGTAGGATGTATAATGTCACTCCTAGCCTCTACCAATTACATGCCAGTACCACTCCTCTTCTTGCCATTTACTAACTTTAGGCAATATCTGTAGACACAAATATTGCCTAGGGACAAAACTGTTTCTATTTGTGAATATATGAAATAGGATGACATATGTGAAAACATTAAAAATTATAAAGCCCCAAATCAATTTAAGTCAGTATTAATATAAATCCATCTGCAAGTTTACTTTCCCCTCCCCCAAAAAAGCATTAAAAATTTTACAGTTTCCTTAGGAATGTTTTATTTGCTATTTTTATATATTTTTGCCTACCATTAAAAGCCCTACAGGGCTTTTTGCTTAATTCCTGTTACCCAAACAAAGTTATCTTCATTACAACATAGTTTTTAAGTGTATCATTCTACTAACATGACAGAGTCAAATATAATTGCCATCTCTACAAAGCAGAAATTTTATTTTCTTCATCCAAAATCAAAGTGCTCTATGCCTACCTTTTAAGGACAAAGGACTGCATCTTGTGAATTCTGTACTTGATGGCTTTTGCTGTTTATGAACTTCCAAGTGTTCCTTAACTCTTGAATCAATGGCTTCTTTTAACAGCAAACAGACTTCCTAAAATTAAAAAAAAAAAGGATATAACTTTCTAGTTTAATGCAATGTAAAAAAAGTTAACATTGAACACATTAAAAGTCAATGCTAAACACTTCCTTTTGTTTGCTTTTTAATTTAGCTATAAATGTTCAAAGGAATGCTGTGTGCTAATGGATAGCACCACAGATTTAAATATGCTACTGAGGTTTACACAGAACTCCATGAAGGTTCACTGTGTGGTCTGAGAAATTAATTTCTCTCTGCTTCAGTCTCACAATTCCAAAAGGAAGATTAAAAACTCACTTCCATGTAAATGTCAGAGTACTGGGGTAATAAAATCAGCAAGGTAAAGGATATTTCCATATAATTATCAATCAGTTGTACTGTACTGAACAGAAGAGACAAATCAAATGGAATTAGAATTGGCTGGTAGCAAGGGTCTGAGAGACAGGTCCATAGTGGCCTGACAGAGGAGGAGTCAGGAGTAGGAGCACACTTGTCATCGGTACTGGTGGCTTAGAGAACCCTGGCTACAGCAGAGGCAATGAGGGGCAGCCCCTCTGTTTTACCAGTGTCCTCATGTTTATAGATATCTTTCAGTGTGCTCAAAAGGAGCCAGAAGCAGTGATGCTTATATACAAAATTTTCAAACTTGATTAAAGTTGTTTTTTTTTAGTGTAAACACCAACATTCATTAGTTTCTGGCCTTAGTTTACAAATCTACTAGTGAGAGAAGGGCATTGAGCAGTTCAACAGAGATGCTCTGATTTTCTTCCCCTCTTGTGGATGATACTATATATGCCCATTTGTTTTCATTAAAATTATACTATCTTCATCATTACTTAATGATGAAAATAGCTTCTTATTTTCCTAAAGGAGATTAATATTCAGTTACAGACATGCAGGCTTTCATACAACTTTAGCGCTGCAAACCACTGTCTAATTTCTGGATACAATTGCTTATATATTTATTATTTAAAAATAACAAACAAGTCAGGTGCCAGTGGCTCATGCCTGTAATCCTAGCTACTCAGCCGGCTAAGATGTAAGGATCATAGTTTGAAGCCAACCCAGGCAGGTAAGTCTGTGAGACTCTCATCTCTAATACAGTACTAATACAGTACTCAAAAGAAGCCAGAAGTGGAGCTAGGTTCAAGTGATAGAGTGCTGGCCTTGAGCAAAAAGGCTCAAGAACAATGCTTAGGCCCTGAGTTCAAGCTCCAGGACTGACCCCTTCTCTTACCCCCAATAAAAAGTTCAGTACCACTGTAATAGCATACTCCATGTAGGGTTTCCTGCTGTACAGGAACATGCAATCTAATTCAGGAAAACAATATAAAATTGATACTTAGAGATGGTCTAATCCTAGTTCAATTCCCAAAGCCCACAGCAGGCTCTGAGTTGCCCAGGTCACCTCAAACCTGTTTCACTGGTTTCTTGCAATGCCATCTTAGGTTCATCCTGGAATCTTTATAATTACAACATGAGTAAAGATTCTCATTGCTCTGAAGAGCAACCACAGCAAAACTTTACCTTTATTGCAAATATGTTCATACAAATCTCTCTCTCTCTCTCTCTATATATATATATACTTCTTAAACAGTATATAATATACTCTTAATTTAAGTCATAAATAGAGAGTGTAGTTGTGGAGGTGGGAGGGAAGGGATGGTAGGGGAAAAACAGAGGAGGAGGCAACAATGCTTGATAAGAAATGTACTCATTACCTTGCTCATGTAACTGTAACCTCTCTGTACAGTATTTCCAGAATAAAAAACATAAAAAGTCATAAATAGAAGTGTCTAGATAGAATACAAAATCTTAGTTTTCATTTTGTAGCCCCAAAGTTGCAATACCTTGTGGAATGTAGTGATATCCATTTACAGTTGAGTGTTTTAGGATTTGTTCATACAATAGAAAGGCAGCCTTGCCTTGTACTGTTGTTTTAACAATTAAAGAATTTTGCTTCACATGCAGGGTTCAACTATGACTATGCTAGAAAATATGTGAAAGACATACATGGAAACAAGGATTGTTAAAATTTGGTCATAAATTCCCTATAAGGCTAGAATTAAAAATAATCTGACAAAAATAGATTGTAGGCCTAAACACAGTTTCTCCCTATAGTTATGGGTTTTCTTTCTCTAAGTGAGATTTTCACAACTAAAAGGTAGACTGTACAATATGGTCAAGATGCTCTAGAAACTGACCACATCACATTCACTCACGCATCCTCTTTGGAACCAGAACAATATGAAGAAAAAAATAAACACCTGCCAGTAACATTTGAGGAGCAGATGAAAAGACCATGTCAAAATCAATGACTAGCCAAGAGATGCATATGGCATCTCCAGCTCGCAGGGACTTATGTTTGCTTCTTTGAGTTTACAAATGGAACAGTTTGAGTTTGACTGTTTGGGTACAAAGACTACTTGTGGTGGACTCAAAATAAACATATGTTTAATATTTGTAATTAGTCCCTTTTTAAAATAAAGGAACTGGATATTCTTAAGACTTTCACTATATAAAGTGGCTGTTAAAATACCATTAAACTGGTTGCCCAGGAGAAACACCAATCATGAGATGAAGTAATGATAAAAAGCAATGAGACACTGAACAAAAGTTATAACCTCACCTAGCTCTTCTTTCTTAGACACAACAAAAACATCATTCCAGAACAACTTTAATGTCAGCAAACATGCAGTTTAAAGGAACAACTTAGAGCAGAGGCAGCAAACCATCAACTTGGCTTTCAGGGGAGTTTGGCTGCTGACATGACCTGCCGCCACTGCCGCATGGTTCTGCAGGTCCCATTGTATACTGCTCATCTCTGCTAGGTCATGCCTTGCTGCCCTAAATTCAGCACTAGTTGGAGCCACACAATTGTGTGTAGCACCTTGGAACAAAAAATCTAGCCACCATGCTTTGACTAGGAAGTGGTTCATGGACTCCTAAGCATTAAAATACTGCACATTAAATGACTCTTGGAAACACTGGACATAAATGACTAAATATCAACATATAAGGTCTAAAGCCAAATGGTAAAGTTGGAAGAGAAAATTCTGGTCCTAGAATGACAGATTATAGAAATCACCGTCTGTGTAAGTGAAGTCAGAAACTTTTCAGGTAAGGTTCCTTCATGCAAAGGATTAGTCACTTTAGGGAAATGACTTGAATCACAGGGACACATGTTAATAAGCTAAAGCTTAGATTTTTATGACATTGACTGGCTTAGATTTTATGAAGTTGAGTTGACTAACTATTAAATCCTGAAGGGACAATCCAAAGTTAATTACTTGGATAAAGTCCATTATACTGAACCTTGTATATGCCTTTTCTTAGTTTATATCACTAAGTATTCTTTGCAAAATAATGAGAACAAAGACTTGATATCACCTTTGGCTAAAAATATATTATCCTGTAATTATTTTTCTCATTGGGGAGGTGGGTGGGAAAGTTTTAGTACTCTACAAAAACTGACTAGGAAATAAAATTCATCACCAAAGTACTTCCTTTGCCACTCACTATCATGAGCTGTTTCTCCATACAATCAACCTGTTGATGAAATTTACTTCTTGCTATAAAATGCAAATGAGACAAATGAATACCATGGAGGAAACAAAGTATATTGATTATTTTGAGAGTTATATAAAAATAACTACCTGACAATCTCTGCTCTCTGATAAGCAGAATCTGGAACAGGAAGTAAAGAATGTTATGGGAAGTATATGTACTTTCTAACCCTCTACCACAGCAGATGTTAATGAGATGTTAGAAATTTAGAAGCAAGAAGCAACACAGGCAGCTATCTGGCCCAACTCCTTCACTTTCAGACAAGGAAGCTGAGGTCTTGGGAGGTTAAACATCTAGTTTGCAAGATGAACTTTGAAAAATATAGGCTAAGAAGCACAGTCTCCCAGCACAGCTGGAAATTTGAGTGTGACTTATGAATCCAACCAAAATCAACTACTAATAGTTTACTATTGACTGGAAAGCCTGATAACAAAACAGTTGATTAACACACATTTTCTACGTGATATATATTATAGAAGTGAAAAGTACTCAAGAAATGCAAGAGACCATTTTCTACTGTGACACACTACTTATTGGAAGGGTAAATAGCTAACACTTGAAGTAGCTATAGCACCTCAGCTCATTGCAACAGCAGTGGTGGCATATGAAATGCCTACAGCAGAACGGAATTACTAGAACTAATCTTAGCAGTTATTATTTAATATTATATCTTTATAATTGTTTACATGTCTCCCAACCACAAATGGTGTCAGGTATAGTCTGAGTTTTGAATTTAAATAAATTTTAACTTTTGATAATCAATTTGAACATATTTTATGGTAGTAAGTAGATTCATCTTATAAATTCATAGTTTTCTGCCAATCTTTTTGCTTGTAATCTTTCTATTTTTTAAAAAAATTTTTTTGGTCCGGTTGTGGGGCCTGATCTCTAGGCCTGGGCGCTGTCCCTCAGCTCTTCAGCTCAAGGCTAGCACTCTACCACTTGAGCCACAGCACCACTTCCGGCTTTTTTCTTTTTGCTTATGTGGTGCTGAGGAATTGAACCCAGGGCCTCAGGCATGCAAGGCAAGCGCTCTACCACTGAGCCAACTTCCCAGCCTTCTGCCAATCTTTTTGATATTCCAAGATTACCAAGTTCATCTAAGATTTTTTTCCATACTGTTGAAAAATCTCTAAAAATAAATTCACACTGTGGAATAGCATAAACCAAACCTGTAGGTTTTTTTTTTCCTTCTTCTTCTTTGTATTAGTCCTAGTGCCTGAACACTCAGGGCTTGGGTGTTGTTCCTCAGCATTTATGCGCAAGGATAGTGCTCTACCACCTGAGCCACAGCACTACTTCTGGCTTTTTGGCAGTTAGAGATAAGTCTCAAAGACTTTTCTGTGAACCATGATCCTCAGATCTCAGCTTCCTAAGAAGCTAGGATTTCAAGCATGAGCTACAAGTACCTGGCACAAACCTGTGTTTTCAAGGGTCAACTACTCATCATTACCCAGATATTTGCTGTAGTGACTAGCCAACATGAGAAGACACAGTGAAGTATATCTCTACTTGTCAAACATTCATGACAATTCAAGGACAATAGAAGATGGATGGGTATAATAGATGTATGTACTTTGTGTCAAACTTCACACCAGAGCCAGTGGCCCAATCTTCCTTCATATTACTCAGATCAAAATCTTTACTTACCTGAAATAACGTACATTCTTTTTCTTCCATTTTTAACACAGAATTCTTTCCCCATAATAAAAAGGTGAGGAGTTTCTAGTTTAAATAATATAGGCAGTGATGGAGATAAGCTCAGTGGTTTCCTAGTGTGTGGATAGCCCTGAGTTTCTACCATCACACCTAAAATAATAATAAACAAGAAATACACCAAGAGAGTAGCATATAAAACATATGGATGTTCTTGTTTTTGAAGGGAAAAATGTGGAAATATAGGTGTCTGTCATTGGAATACAATTGTACAATTGTTTTTCAAGGTTAAGTACTATTAAACTTTTTCTCCATTGAGGAAAGTATTAGAAAAGAGCTAACATTTCTTCAAGGAGTTGCAGCTACTTGTGCTTAAATAGCAAAAAGCTTTGTTGTACCTCTTTCTTCTGCTCAGAAAACCAGCTGGTGTCTTTGTTTGAACCTTGTGGCAATATATGAAGATCCACCAGGATAGCAAATTTCCCACACTGAAAGACATTAATGGTAGAGTCAGTGACTATGCAGGTCATATGCAGCAAACTCAGAAATTCTTAAGTGGATGTTCATTATGAACTGGAACCAAGGCTTACTACTACATGGAAATCTTACTAACCTGGGTCAGGGCTACAGGTCTAACATACTCCTGTCTTAAGTTCAACATTTATAGTAGAAATGCTAAAGAGATGTGCAAGATTTGTCAAGACAGAAACAACAAAAATCTATCTCTAAGCCACATGTTGTAAGAGGAAACCAAGATATCTCAGTTAAATGGAAAACTATCACACACTGAGAGAAGTTAAACGAGTTAGTACTATACAAGTTTCTGAAACGAATTATTCTGTGCACAGCCAAGAAGAGTTATAACCTATTGTAATTTTAAAGAGACAAGACTGTGGCACACATCTTGGAAGAGAAACAAGTCCATATTAAAAAAAATGAACCAAGAAGAATAAGGTAGAAGTTGAATTCCAATGATCAAAGCTAAAGAAACTTCCATTAAAATACATTACAAACTCTACAAGGTCTGCCTCTATTCCTATTCAACTGGCTAGCAGTTTGGAAAAATACAAATGTTAGCCACACCAGCGATCCTAGCTACTTAAGGAGACTGAGATCTGAGGATTGTGGATTAAAGACACAGCGAGAACAGGAAAGTCTATGAGGCTTCTCTCCAATTAACCAACAAAAAAGCCAAAAGTGGAGCTGTGCTCTAGTGGTAGAGCACAAAAAGAGCTCAGTAAGTGTCCAGGCCTTGAATTCAAGCCCCAGTACTGGCACAAAACATTTTCTAAAAAAGTAAAAATAAAAATGTCCAATATGATAGCCAACAGCAATACATATCTACTGGGCACTGAAAATGTGACAACTGTGACTTAGAGGCTAATGTTTTTTTTTTTTAAAGTTGGTCATGGGGCTTGCACTCAGCCTGGGTGCTGTCCCTGAGCTCTTTTGTTCAAAGACAGAACTCTACCACTTTGAGCCAGAGCTCCACTTTCGATCTTCTGGTGGTTAATTGGAGATAACTCTCACGGATTTTCCTGCCCAAGCTGGCTTTGAACCACGTTCTTCAGATCCTAGCATCCTGAGTAGCTAGGATTAAAGGCTTGAACAGCTAGCACTCAGCAAGGCTAAATTTTAACTTAACTGAAATTTTATTTAAATAACCCCATGTGGCTAATGGATCTGTACTGGCCAGCAGAGCTGCAGATCCTGTGAAAAATTATAGGCTCACGCTTTATGAATAATTTTTGAATATCACAAGGTAACTATGAACAAATTACTTTGCAATGGGATGGACAATACGATCACAGATTTGGAATGTCTAAGATACTCACAGATTTAGTTTATAAGTTACAGGAAAAGCTACTTCTGTACCTCTCTGGCTAAGCAGATTATTTTTAGTTGTGTGCCAAAGGCAATGGTGAAAAGAAAGTAGTTTCAACTAGTGGTGTTAACATAACAGACAAAATGAAACTTGATGTCTGCGCATTATCATATATAAAATTTAATTTAAGATAGATTATAGAGCTAAAACCCATTATTGTGACAGAATCCAGGCAGAAATAAATGCTGAAGGAAAAATTCTTTAGCAGGGCATTCTCAAAATGAAAACTTTTGCAATCATAAAAGCATCATTGGTAAAATGAATATGTATGACATTGACTGGAAACATGTATTCATTAATGCAGGTGTCTAACACAAAGGACTGCTATGCAAAATATGTAAACTATTCCTACACAGGATTTAAAACAGATATTGCAGATGTGAACAGATATTGCACAAATATGAAAAGTGGCTAATTAAGTCCATGAAAAAAGTACTTGATGCCATTGGTCATCAGGCAAATGTAAATTAAAACCACTAAGAGATACAGCTACAACAGCTACAACATACAGCTATCAGCATGACTGAAATAAAAAAGACTGATACAACACCAAAGGTGAGTAAGGATAAGTAGTGATCCAGACTCTTATAAATTGCTAATGGAAACATAAAATGCTTCAGCCACTTTGGCAAACTGTCCATTGCTTACAGCTAAAAAACATATATTTATTTATGGATTGAATCAACACTTCACTTCCACCCCACACATATGTCCAAGAAATATGAAACTTTTGTGCAAAGATGTGTTTGCAAATGTACATGACATAATAACAAAATTGAAGACAGCCTAAAAGCCCAGCAATAGGTGACTAGCTGACTATTGTATATACACAATGGGATTCTAATCACCCAACTAGTGATAAACATGGATTTGTCTTGAAAGCATATACTAAAAGAAAGAGCACAAAACAAAACAATGCATACCATATGATTCAATTTTCTGAAATTCCTAAACTGCTTTTGTTACAATCAAAGCAGTGACTGATGGCCTAGTGAAATGACAAGAATGAACTCTGTGTCCTAATGGGGTATCTTAAGCATACATTTAAAGCAGTACAGTTTACTGAATATAAATTAATGTCAGTAATAAGTTTTTTTAGTACTGAAAATACACTCATATTTGTTGACAGTTAACTTAGTATGTAAGTATTATATTCTCAAAATGTATAGGTATTTTTATGGTTTCCTATGGTATCAGAAGTAAACTGTAGCTTCTAAGCTGCAGTTCTGTGTGTTGCAACCAGGCCTTCGTTTTAATGAAAGAGAATCAAAGAGAATATTAGAATGCAATAAAAAATACCAGTGTGTCACATGTTAAGGTTGAGAACTGTTTTGTTTAATGTAAGCATGTGTATAATGACTTATAATGAAAAGCCTATTTCTTATCATGGGCTGTGGTTTTAAAAGCTTGGAAAAACCATACTCAAGTTATGTTGTTAGGGTCAAAATTTCAACTGCTAATCACAGTTAACCTTTAAGGAGTATGCTGCCACCAGGTGGAGGTCCCATGCCACAACGACATGATCTTAGGGAATATTAACCTTCTATGTGCCATGGACCACTTACTTCAGGCAGCTGTTAAGATGATAAAATATAGTCAGAATGTTTTTAAATGCATAGAACACAATACATGGGATTTAAAAAACTGAATACAGTGATTACAGTTATCAAAACCTAAAAAATAACGATTTGTGATATAATACTGTATGTATATGCCCATGAAGGCACTAGCTCCTGTGGGATAGTGGTAGGTTTAGTAGCTGCTATAAATCAAGTGTTTGTGGTAGTCTTAGCCATCAGCAACAACTGCAATATAAAAAGCTGTGACTTCTATCAGTGACAAATATTGCTGTTACCACTGTATATTTTTAAATTCTTTTTTCATAATAAAAGAAAAACTACACCTATTAGAACTTAGTCAACATAATAATGTAACTTTTTCTCTTCTAGTAGCCCACAGAAGACTGAGGTTTCAGTTGTCATAAAAGCCCTCCAAAGAATTGAGCTGTGTCTCTGCTACATTTTGCTGGCGTTTCCTGAAGATGTCCCCCAATTCTTGTCTAAACCAAGTTCTCTACTACTCCCTTTATTAGCAAAAGCAACCCTTAGGATGCAAAACAAAGTTATTTAAAAAAACAAAAACAAAAACTAATGCTTGAACAATTTGGACTCAAAGTGTTATGGCAACTTCCTAAAGAATTACAATGGTCCAGTATGTCTTTTCTAATCGCTTTGTGATTTCAATCATAATAAACCATTAAGCCTGCTTAGAAAACTGATTAGAATATCTTTTTCTTTCTCACTGAATCTTACTCCAGTAATCCAACTTGACTGGGATTCTAGAATATTCTACCAATAGGCTTGTGTCTCTTCCCTCGTGCAAAAGCTTTCTCAAATTCCCAAACTAATCAGAGGCATTTTGCCTTTCTAAGGTTCCCTATTCTCAAAGCTTTGTTGGTTTTTGCTCCCAAGGGTAGACAGAAGTGAAAAAACAAAAAACAGAAACCACAAAGCTTCCAACACAGCAGGCAGCACAGCACCCTCCTTTTCTTCTCCACAGCAATTAAGAGGAGGCTCCTTTTACTCCCAGAAGAGGAACTCTCCAGCTCTCTAGGAAGAGGAGCAACACAATAACCATCACTTTTTTCTCAGGCCTGAGCTGCTCATTTTACAGAAGCCAACTTACCTCTTCACCAACTCAAAGGCTAGGAGACACATCCTTGCATACCACATGCTGGGCTGGACAGCCCAGGGGCTGGTCCGGCTTCCTCTCACTTTCCCCTCCACTTCCTGTCCAGCCATTCCCCTGACCAAAACCCTGGGAATCACCCCTAACTCACATAGGATTTTTTTTGCCAAAACCCTGGGAGTCATCCCTAATAAGCTCCCCTTTCCTAGCCTTTCAGCATCAGCCACTGCATCTTACCAGTTTCATTTTATTTTGTGAAGTTCTCAGGTACATCCTTATTTTGCTTCATTGCTCATCTCCTCTCCCACTTGGAATATTAGAACCATCTTTAATGGTGTTCTAGATGAACCTTAATGCTGCTTCCAAGACAAACGACCATGTGAATCAGATTCAGTACCAATGCACTCCTACTGCAGCTCAGAGCAGGTCAGGAGCCTCTCATGAGAATGAAGCCCACCTCTCCCTTACCTCCCCTGCTATGCTAGCTCAGCACAGGTTCCCTGCACAGAATGCTCCTTGCTTTATCCCTTGCTTGGTAAACTCATATGTACTCTAGAAGCTTAGCAGAAGCATGGCTGGCTCCATGAAGTAAAGATTCAAGGGTTCCAACCCTGCCCCCTACTTCTCTGTAGTAAACTTGTTCTCTATATGCTTATGGACTTCTGTATTACAAGTCTGGTCATGGAGGAGCCCCCTTAGCTAGACATGAGTGCCACTGGAAATCATTCCATACCTCTGTTGACTCTGCTTCTTTAGTGATTAACACAGTTAGAATTCACAGAACACCCAAACAAATGACAGAATAGAGTATGAGAAGGAAACAACTTCTTTGAGGTTATACTGGCAACAGAGTGACAGACTGAGGAATCAAATATAGATTTGTGATACTCGAAAGTCTACTGTCACACAGCACTT